TTGGAAGTTAATAGGTTTTTTTTTATATAGGATATAAAACAAATCTATTTGTTTATAATTGTGGAAAATAATGTTTTTTTGACTATGTAAGAACGTCACAAATGAGCCATTGCTGCAATTTTAAATTTCTTTAACGTGGAATTTTTTTAACATTTGCTAAATTAAGGATAATCCCGTAACAAAGATCAAAGTAAAGTATTAAAACCTAGAGGTTTTCCCAGAAGATTCTTTGCTCCGCCATTCTTACCAGGAACACAACCAAAGACTGCATAGCCAAGCACAAGGCAAACCAGGCCACAACAGCCGAATGTCCAAATTGTGGAGGCAAACATCACACAACCTGCTCTGCACGGAAAGAAAAAGTGCAGACAGCTCAGGCCAGGATAAACACACAGACCAGCACCACATACACCAACACCAACGTCTGGAACACTCGTGCACAGCCACAACAGACACACACTCTCACAGAGCAAAACTTCCCGAATTTATTAATTCCAAATCAGAAAGTACACAAAAGTGCTGCAGAAATACAGCAAATGCAAAAGAGCAAAAAACAATTGCTTTCGGAATCAACACAACAGATATACAGTTTTACCCCCGAGGTCCAGCTGAAAAACATCGTGAAGATCATGGCAGAGACCATTATCAATTGCCTACAGATGACGCAGAACGCCTCACAGCAACAGACTCAAGAAATCACTTGTGTGATAATGGACAAGATCGTGCAGCAGACCACAGTTACACAAGAAATAGACAGTCTGAGACAAGACAGAGCACAAGAGGACAAACAACGCAACATGGACATACAGACTACCAACAACAGTCGGGTAGTCAAGACACCAGAAGATCAACATTTACAAAAGCAACTGCAAGAAGCAGTGACCACCCAAAATCAACAGAATCTTACAACACAAGAGACAGACAACAACAGCCAATGCAGTCTGATATGCAACAACACCAACATTGTATTGTTGTAACAATACAAATTAACCAACAAATTGTATTGAACAGCAGAGATGCACAGGTTCCAACAAACAAGAAACAGCCACGAGCAATCAATGCAGTCCGACATGCAGCAATACCAACAACAAAGAGATGGACCACAGTTATGCACAGATTCCAACAATGCCGGGGATGACCACGAACAATCAATGCAGTCCGATTTGCAGCGACACGACTTGCGAGGTGGAGAATATAGAGGTCGATCCCGAAGAGGAGTTCTAGTAGAACAGGCAACACCAACCGAAACCGTCGTCTGGCCATTACGAATACTGCAGTGGAACATACAAGATCTTGGAAATAAAAACCACACTTCAGGAGGCTGCAATCAGCACGAAAGCAGATATAATCGTTTTGGAAGAAACTTTTTTCCCAGCCACGAAATCCTTCAGATTAGCTGGATATCAGCACTATGTTATACCGTATGAGCAGGGGAGACAAAGAGGATTAATGACCCTAGTCAGGAACACAATACCTAGCAAGAAAATAGACTCAGTTTCATGTGGGGATGGAGTAGAGGTATTAGCAGTAACAGTGAATATGGCTAATATTGAGCTCCTCATATACAACGTCTACAAGCCCCCTAGACGTAAACTAGAAGCAGAGGCAGTGCTTGCCTTGGCCACGCAGGAAAATGTAATTATTACTGGGGATTTTAATGCTCATCATCAAGAGTTAGGTGCGACTGGGCCAGCCAATGCAGATGGGCGCCATTTAGCTGCAGCTCCTCGAGAAGTACCTGAAATTACACTTCTCAACACTGGGGAACCCACTCACATTCTAGGAGGTTCCCTTGATCTTACATTAATCTCAACAGCACTCAAGCATCAGGCGAAGTGGGAAGTAGACCCGGTGATCACCAGTGACCACTATGCTACTGTCACGACACTAAACATAGAACGACCTACTACACCACCTGCACAACCTAGGTGGAATTTAATAAAGGCCAATTGGAATATATACCAAGAAGAACTTGAAAAATGGTATGCAACATACACGCCACCTGAGGATTTGAACATTCACGAGACCAATCTGCAGGAAGCCATTGCAGCTGCTGCAAACAAAGCTATTCCAATCATTATCACAGGAAACACAAAACGAAAGAACTATTGGTTCTATAGTAATGAAGTTAAAGAACAGAACCACAGAGTCAACATCTTCAGAAAACATCTAAAGAGAAACCCCACACCAGAAGGAAGAACTCTGCTAAGAGCGGTGATATCTGAAGCAAGACGAGTTTCTAGAGAAGTAAAGGAGGCAAGATGGTTTGAGTGGTGTCAAACTCTAAATGAACATGGTAGTCTTGGCAAGATATGGGGTCAGATTAAAACTATATCAGGTCGACCAGCCCGACCACAGGCATGTATTCAACCATTGCAGGAGGCTGAGAGACTTGCTCTCCAATTTGCAGAAAGAACAGCTTCATATCAGCTTCCTGCAGTGGTCCGAAGGCAGCAAGAACAATTAAAACAAGAGATGTTGACAGTCATTCATGAGAGCATAGCTATAAATGACGAATGTGGCTGTCCCTTCACCAAACAAGAACTAATCAGAGCCAAAAAAGGTGGTAAGGACACTGCACCAGGTGCTGATAACATTACATACTCAATGATCGCACATGCAGGTCCTGCTGGAGAACAAGGAATATTGGACGTCATCAATGCATCTTGGCAGCAAGGAAAAACTACCGACCTCTTGGAAGAAAGCAGACATCATACCGATTCCTAAGCCGAAAGAACCTGGCAATTACAGACCCATTTCATTAACATCATGCATTAGTAAAACTGCAGAACGGATGGTCTTAAATAGGCTACTGTGGAAGACTGGAGACCTTCATAAACACACATTTGGCTTCACTAGAGGAGTAGGTAATGCCAACTGCATAGCAACATTACTAGGAACAGTTAACTCGGGTCCAGCTATAGTGATCTTCCTTGATCTAGAAAAAGCATTCGAACTTGCAAGCCCGCAAGCAATTTTACACACCTTAGTTAAAAAAGGTGTAAAAGGAAAAATGCTAGCATGGATTCAAGATTACCTAAGTCACAGGTATGCCAGAGTAAAGTTGCAAGGACAAGTGTCGGACTACTACCTGCATGAGAATGGGACTCCACAAGGAGGAGTCCTCAGTCCTAGTCTTTTTAACATCCTTATGGAAAACCTTGTTACCATGACATTTACAGAAGGGGTTAAATTGCTAAGCTATGCTGATGATATAGCATTAGTCATTACAGGTCCTTCACTTCTAAATAAAGCACAAGGTGCATTAGATAAAGTAACATCAGAATGCAGCGTTTTAGGGCTAAAAATATCTGCACAGAAGTCTAAGGCAATGAGACTAGGTGGCAACGCTCCAGACAGGCACCTACGCATTCAAGACATTAACCTTCAGTGGGTTACACAATATCAATATCTCGGAGTGTGGATAGATTCTAAAATGACATTCAACAAGCAAATTCAATATCTAAAGGAGAAAGCAAAATCACGACTAAATATAATGAGAGCAACCACAGGGCCCCGTCTAGGAGCGGGACACAAAGTGTTAAGAATGTTTTACATACACGCCGTTCGTTCACTAGTTGTTTATGCAGCGCCTGCCTTACTCACTCTTTCTCCTGGTCAGTGGGCAAACGTTGAGGTTATTCAAAACGATGCATTGCGAATCATAACAGGAGCTCCCAGATGGACTAAAACACTGAACCTAAGACTAGAAACCAAGCTAACGTCGATTGAAATAAGGGTAAAAGGGATCGCTGCATGCATGCTGACCAAGATATTGACTAGACCTAGAATCAGTTCACTTAAAGATATAATCACTGGAGCACTAACTCTGGACAGATGAGCCTCCAATAGCAACAGGTGGACCCATTGTGCGATAAACACCATCAATACATTCGATATAACAAACACAGTCACTGAGAAGGGTGTCGACGAAATACATGCAGACTGTTATGCAAGCCCCTTGGGAATCTCCGCCAGCAGACTTTAAGATTATGGTTGTTGAAGGAAAAAAGAACCAGACAAATCCTCATCTGCTACGTAACATTGCACAGATGCATATAGAAGCAAACATGGCATCCGACAGCTTCACTTACTTCACAGATGGATCAGTAGACCAGCAGGGACAAGAAACCGGAGCTGCAGTTAAAGCAGGAAACTCTGTAAATAGTTGGAGGCTCTCAAATGGGTGTTCGACTTTACAAATAGAGATGCTAGCCATTCAAAAGGCTTTGGAACATGCTCTTGCTGAACACCGACAACATGTTATCATACATACAGATTCGAGAACCGCCATTGAAACCTTGCAACAAGAACACATATGTGATAACATACATCTGATCACAAATGTCATATCATTAATGCAAACACTCAAACGACAAGGCCGACGGGTAATTATCAACTGGGTGCCAAGTCATGTGGGAATAATAGGAAATGATATTGCAGACGAAGCTGCAAAACTTGCAACTAAGAGAAGAAATGTAGACATTTACATACTACAGAGTCTATCACAGATTAAGAAAGCAATTAGAAACAGAGCAATGCAAAAGATGAACAGTGACCACAACACAGCAGTTGCAACATCAGGATCTGCAGGTTGGTACAAGAAACCAACTACGAACCACTTAGTTTGATGAAAGGGAGCAGTAGAGCAACAGAAGTGCACTTACATCGCATCAGGCTTGGATACCCATGTGCATGGGAAATAGGCTTACAGGTTCCGGAAGATGAGAGGAAATGTCAACACTGTGGAGAAATGCCCGACAGACCACTGGAACATTATCTAACACAGTGCACAGTTACAAACCCATTAAGATTTCAACTTAGATTCAACAGAGCAGAAGAAGTTGTTAAACACATATAGCAAAATCTTACTAAAGCGACCATACGAGTAATAAATACTCATACTCCGCCCAACTAAAACAGAAACAAGCAACACTTAGTGGGCCAGCCAGAGGCTTAGGGCCCGTGCAAGAATATCCTTGAAAAAAAAAAAATCGGGTTTAAAGAGGTAAAGTGTTACTGTGACCTCTGGGGTTCGAAGCCTGGTTGCTTGTGATCTCCTCCAGGGAGCGCCCCCGTGTCTCTGACAGAGCAACAGCGCTGACAATGGTTAATGTTGCGCACACACCACTGAAGATCCAAAACATTCCATGTTCTCCCAGTGCTTCTACTGTCATTGGAAACGTTTGGGATCCTACAAACATTCCGAACATCATTACTAAACCTATTAATGAATCAGTAATAGATCGACACGATGTAGAAAATAGTTCATTACTTAATACTGCAAAAACCGGTTGTCCAATACCGATAAATAAAATGTATATAAATACTGCAGCAAGTGGGAGCCACCAAATGTTATCAACATTCCGGGACTCCTTTATGTACAAGTATACACCATAAGCAGCCATACACAAAGAACATACAGAATAAGACAGTATTAATATGGGCTTACGTCCCACTCGGTCAATTATACAGAGGTGAATAAACGCTCCAAGGACCTTGAAGGAGCCAAATATTATGGCAGTGATGTATGGATCTAAGCTGATTTCCGTCGATTGGAAGATAGGCACTAAATATGTTGTCATAGCAAAACTTCCATTCAATGACATCAAGAGAAATAAAACTGCCACTAAACAGAACGTGCGTAGAGTTGCTGGTTCTAAGATTAGCCGTGCTTGCTGCCAAGAGCTGTCACCCCTCCTAGATTCTCCAGCGTGTTGTGTGATGCCTTTTAACTCTTCTTCAGAGTCATAATGCTTACCTCTGAAAAAGTTAAGAGCTTTCCGAGCTTCAGTAACGCGGCCCTGAGAAACAAGCCAGCGGGGGGAGTTCGGCAAGAGGAGGAGGCCGAAGAAAGGAATTGCAGATAAACCGCAGTAAACCAAGCCCATTTGTCGCCAATCGAGCTTCGAAATTCCTAGGGCAGCTGCCATTAAACTACCACTTTGTTTAGCAAGTGCAGTAGCTCCAGCGAGAGTTCCACGTACGTTCTTGTGAGCGATTTCGGCGATGTATAGACCTGTACCAGAGTCCAGGATGCTCATAATAACACCCAGGATGGTCCGACTTGTCAGGAGCAGCCAAACACTGTCGGAGAGAGCGAGTGCGAGCCAGGAAGCCACGAGGAAGGGTAGGGTCAGGAGGAGGGTCAGTCGTCGACCAAGGTTCACCAACAGAGGTCCACACACAACAAACCCAATAGTACCTCCCAGGTTCACGAGGCTTCCTGCAATGGTGTTACGGATTTTTAGTACAATAACTACTCCTTGAACAAATAATACAGATATATTTTGAGAAAAAACGCGATGTCTTCTGATATATTGAATTATATAGTAAGTTCAATATCCTTGTGAGTATGTAAACAAATTAATATTATTCTACGTGATATACCATAAGTTTATAGCCACTCTCCAGTAAGAAATAATGGTGGCAGGAATGCTCAGTCTGTGGGATAACCTATTGGGATTAATACATTAGGAGAACTACTAGGGACTTGTACTGTACTAAATTAAAAATTACTGTATGCAAAATTAATTCAACTAAAGTCACTAGCTAGGGTCATAAATCCTAGCTCCTCTTTTCCTAATGACACTGTGGGCTGTAAGGGGCAGGTGGGGTCCCTAAGGATGAATGGAGAAGTTGATTGAAGATCCACAATTCACCTGGAGACAAGTTTCTCACATCAGCTTGTATTGTTAATACAAGGATAAGATTTAATAATTCAGTTCTATAAATGAACACTGGTTCTGTTTAAATCAGGGATCTAAACATGTACACAGTCTGTCCTTGCACCATAACTATAACAGCCAATATTTTCTATACTAATAATCACAACAATTTATTGTAGAAGTATGATATATTTGAATATGTGGACAAATGACCTTAAATGTGGTCAAAGTACTATTAACTAAGGACAAGAGGTTATATTCAATATGATAAACTTATATTATAAATTAAAGATAGCTAAGCAAGCAATTATTAACTTAATGTATATTATCAATTATATACAAATATATTCAGTTTATATGAAGAGATCCAGTTAAGCTTGACTTGACTTTTCTTAGACAAGGGGACACTCATGAGATTCTGAATCTCATGAGTGTCTTTTTACTGAAAAGAGGTTCAGTCGTTACTGTATTAATAAAACTTACTGAAATATGAGGCGTTGCTTCACCATGTAACGACAAACAGACTTATTGGATATATTAAAGTTACACAAGCATACAATAGGCCAATTAATATACCAAATAACATTCAATATACTTATGACTGAATGCCGAGTGCCGTCTGACAAGTGGCCAGACTGATAACTCTCTCCTGTAAAGTTCAAGCACTATATTTTATTTCACAGCTTTGTTGTATATTGTTCTAGTAGCGATGCTAATTGATTATGTCCTTAATTGCGTTTGCAGTAGGCTAAGATAGGTGGTGATGATGGAGGTGGTATCAGGTGGGTGAGCTCCACTCTACACTCTTTAGATAATGTACTAGAAATTTTCCTTGTAGATATTGTCCAGGTACTCCCCCAGTTCTAGAGAGTAATCACTGGTGATAAAGATGTGTTATGTTATTGTGGTGTCCTTTACCAAATAATGTTCGTAAGGCACCGTATCACTTGTTCACTGTTTGTAAACACGGGGGGGGGGGGGGGGTTCTGCCCCGGGGTGCCCCTGTAGGTCGCTTCACTCCCTAGTTTGGCTCCTTCCCCCCTTGTGGGGAGGGTAGCCTTCAATACATATTGATTTATTATTTTTACTGTCTAGACATATGATTGAGATAAGATGTGATTAGAATATAATTAGATGTAAGATTATAAGTTTTTTTTATTTTTTTTTTTACATGCAAGCATGCAAGTTAAATTACATTAAAACAACAAATTGAAACATAACAATACAAAACAAGAAACCGCCGGCCAGAAGGACCGGCAAAACAACAATTACCAAAACTGGAAAGGTTACAGAAAATGCAGGATAAAAACACAAAAAGATACAAAACAGAAAATAGGCACAAACAAGCAAGCAAACCAAGAACATAGCAACAATTTAAAACAGTTTAGCAGTATGAAACAAAACAGACAGAAGCGCCAGCCTGAAGGACCGACAACAAAGCACAACAGTATGAACAAAATGAAATATAATAAGAAAGCATATCACACAACAAGCCAATAACAAACAAAATAAAATAAGACAATCACAACACGTAAGCATAAGAGAAAATACATAGGGCACAGTAACAACACAAAAACAAATACATGAAGAAGAGCACACACACCAAACCACCCGCCTCGCCACAAACAAGGGAGAGGCACGGGCACAAACTACCAGATGGCAAACAAACAGCCAGAAGGGCACACAGTACAAGAGTAAGCACAATAGTAGAAAATCACCTGACATACTTGCCCGGAAACTCGTCCCGAGGGAACCGTACATGGAACGCCTCCCAGCGCAACCACTGCCAAGGGCCCTGACCATCCATCGGGAACGCCATATCATCCGGGACATCGGCAACAAACGCCCGCAAACAGGGTACCCAAATGGTATCACTCCTGACCCGAGGGTCTGGCCCTTGCTTCGGTAAGGGGCGGACGTGTTGCATCGGCGCTCCAGCAGTTTGGTGTTGTTTGCCCGTTTCGGCCGGTTGGGGGCGGGTGTGTCTCTGCTCGCCTGTGCTGACGTGGCGTTACGATGGGGGTCCCTCTACCCCCAGTCGTCCGGGCTCAGTCTGTGGGACTAGAGTTCTCTGTGCGGGCTGGTTACCCGGAGATTGCCCTGGCTTGTGAAATGCTCTCTGTCCCTGTGTTTGCGATTTATGGGGTCGAGTTGGTAACGGCCCGTAGGGCAATTGTGAAGTTTGCAGAGGAGGTGGCGTATCGCGATTTTCTCCGGCGATACGAGGGGCGGACTCTGCCCCTGCCGGATGGTGCGGGCACTGTCACCCTCTCGGATAGAAGTGGTGCACTTACTTACATCAGTGTGCATGGGGCTCCCTTGGAGTTTCCAGAGGCTCTGCTACGGCGGTATTTCGGGCGGTTTGGCGCAGTTGTTAGTGTGAGAGTGAACGTGGTGTCTTCTAGTCCTCTTAAGGGTGTGAGGTCTAACATTCGCACCCTGGGCATGAGACTCCGGGCGGATATTCCGTCCTCTGTGCGCCTTATGGGGTTCAACGTTCGGGTGTTTTACGCCCGTCAGCCGCGGACGTGTTATCGTTGTGGTCTTTTGGGCCATCAGGCTGCTGACTGTTCTGCGCCTCCTGTTGCACCAGTGAACCTCTTCAGTGAGGAGGATTTTCCGCCCCTTCCTGTGGGGGATGATTCGGTGGGTATGGACGTCTCTTCGGCTGAGGAGGTGCCCTCTGTAGCAGCTGTTGCTCCGCCTGTTGCGCCCCCTGTTGTTGCCGCATCTCCTCTGGAGGTTGTGTCCTCGCCTAGTGCTCCAGCTGGTGTCCCTGAGCCTCTTTCGCCTGCCGTTTGCTCGGTCCCCTCGTCTTCCAGTTCTTCCTCTGCTGTGTCTGTCCCGGTCCCTGCACCCTCGCCGTCTGTCCCGGCTGTGCTGGGAGCTGAGGTGGATCCAGAATTCCCTCCTGTGCCTGGCCTGGTGCCCCGTGTGGTTGAGGAGGCTGCCGTGCTGCGGCGTGCGTCGGTTCGCTCGGTTGGTGCTGCGCGGGTCGCTGAGTCTGCCTCCGGGTCTGATGATGTGCGGCCCGAGCCTAAGCGTTCCCGGCGTTCTTCTGCGTGGGCTGATGTTGGCGAATTCGACGAGTGTCGTCCTTCCGTTGACGGTGGCGTGGCTCCGGATGTGGTGCACACTACGGTGGTGGCGGAGGTACACTTGCCTGAGGATGCCGGTGCCGGCGTTTCGGCCTCAACCTCTGGTCCGGTGTCCGAGGGTCCTGCTTCAGGTGCGTTGCCTGCGTCGGATGGCTCCGGTTCTTCGTGGGCGGTGGTTCCCCCTGCTGTAGTTGGTGGTGAGCGGGGTGGCCTGGTAGTGATGTTGAGAAAGGATGCTCGCTCTGGATGTTCTGTGGCTCCTTCCTCGTTACCCGTTTCCTCGGCAGCGGTCTTGCCGCCTCTTCCGTTTCCTGCAGTCCCTTCCGTGTCTCCTGCGGTATCCGTGGAAGTGCTATCGTCTCAGCGTCCGACACCTGCTCCGATGACGAAGGCGTGGCAGGTTCGGCGACCCTCGTCTGCTTCTCCGGTGTCATCTGCTTCCTCGAAGGGCGTGGTTGGCGCTCCCCGGCCTCGTTATGCGACTTGCGTCAGTGACCTTAGGCATTGGCCGATGCCGCCAGATATAGATGTTCCCGAGTTTATGATACCCGCTCGAGCGCGGGGGGTCGAAAACCCTACCGACCTTGAAGATCTAGTCTGGGAAGCTTACAAGGCGAAATATCCTTATGATCTTTTCCCGGAGAAGTACATTTCTCACGAGGTTCCTCGCAAGTGATTTCTATGTATTTTGTGTTGCCTGGTTGTGGGGTGTGTATGTGAGTGGGGTGGGTATTGTTTCCCGGTTCCTGCGTGCTCCGGTTTGTATTGTGGGTTTTCTTGTATGGCTAGTGGGGGGGTGTGCGGTTCCTGTGCGTTTGTGTGTTCGGTTGTGGATGTCGTGTGCGCTTGCTTGTCATATTGTGTGCCCTTCAGGCTGTTGGGGTGTGCTCTTTGTTATGTGTGCATTATGTGTTTGAGGTGTTAGCAGACTTGTTTTGTCTGTTTCTCGCCTCTATGCTTCCCTTATGTTTGTATTACGCTGTGTTTATATTTATGTTTGTATATGCATTTTTTGTTTTGTGGTCAGCCCTTCTGGCTGGTCGTCTTCTTGATTTGTTCCTTTGTCATTGTTCATGTGTGTGCTTTGTTCTTTTGTTCTATGTTATATTTGTTCTGTTTTTATTGTACATTATACGCAGGCTTGCATGTAAAAATAAAAATAAAAAAAAAAAAAAAAAAAAAAAAAAACTCCTGACCCGAGTGATCGGCACACGCTCCCACACCAATGGAACTGCCCCATCCTGAAAGGTCAGCGCCTCCTCGCAGACCGGTAACGCAGCAATCCGCAACCAGTGACCCAACGGCATCACAGACTGGTAACACGTCCCCCAAGCCCCCAACGTACTTCCTCAGAGGAGGGAGCCGGACAGAAGGCACCACCACAGGGGCACCAGCGTCCACGGCACACCACTCGACGACTGCCAGGAAACCGAGCTGCGCACATCCTTCCGCAAGGTCACCACCAGGCCACGCCCAACCCTATCATCCCCGGCAGCGGAGGCCACCACGCTCCACCGCGGAGAGGCCTCCGATGGAGAAGGAACAGCAGGCACATCCGAGACACGGACACCATTGTCAGCAGGCACATGGACTTCCGCCACCACTAACTGCGGAGCCAGCGACGCATCCGGAACCACTCAATCCACACCCGAAGACCCACAGTCACTAAATTCCCCAACATCGGCCCAGGCAGACGACGAACGCCTGGAATGTTTGGGCACCGGCCTGAGATCGTCGGAGCCGGAAGCGGTCCCAGAAACACGGGCACCACTAGCCGGACGAACGGACGCCCGCCGCAGAACGGCAGCAGCCTCGACCATGGGGCAACCGGACCACACACATCAAGGGGGCCCCACAGCCACCCCAGCACCCAGCACAGACGGGACCCGAGGCGAGGGTGCAGGGCCAGGCGCAGCAGCTGAAGACGGGTGAGCAGATGGCGATGCCTCACAGGGAGCAGCAGGGTTAGTGACAGGAGCAGGAGTAACATCCGACGGTACTGCAACATCCGGAGGAGGGTCAGCGACAATCTGGGGAACGTCGGGCGACGCTGGGGGAGCCTCAGCAACTAACGGGACGTTCACCTCCTCACCCCTGGAGTCCTCGTCCAGAGGGAGCGGCGGGAAATCCTCTTCCCGGAACAAGTTGACTGAAGCACCCAGAGCCGCATCGCACCCGGCAGCCTGATGCCCCAACAGGCCATACCGGAAACAGGTACGAGGTTGCTGGGCATAGTACACCCGGACGTTGTACCCCAGAAGCTGGACCGAAGATGGAATATCCGACCGCAGGCGCATCCCTAAGGTGCGAATGTTCGTCCGCCTACCTGCATACCTCCCTGAGGAGAGCGTGTTCACCCGCACACTGACGACCGCTCCAGACCGCTGAAAGTAACGTCGGAGAAGGTCCTCGGGAAACTCCAGGGGCGCCCCATGCACACTGACATAAGTCAGGGCACCACTACGGTCCGAGATGGACACAGAGCCGGCACCACCTGGCAACTGCAACGAACGCCCTTCGTAACGACGGAGGAAGTCACGATACTCCTCCTCCTTCACGAACTTGATAACAACCCGGTGGGCAGTTACAAGCTCAATACCGTAAATGGCCATCACAGGGATACGGAGCATGTCGCACATAACCATCTCTATATCCGCATATCCAGCACAACCAGTGAATTCCAGGCCCACATAGTTCACACGCTTAACAGGAGGAAGGGGGGGCTACCCATGGCAAGCTCGCTACGTCAACAGCAGCCAGGCAACAACAGCAGGGGGGGGGGGGGGCAAAGACGCCCACACCCCCTGGCGACGAAAACGGCAAACACCCCAAACTACCAGAGGCCAGACGACACGTCTGTACCTCACGGCAGCTCATGGTGGACTCTAAAGATTATAAGTAGTACTTGCTTGTACTATTAATTCTTATTAAAGATGTGATCTAATCCGTACTGGAAATTGATTGAATGTTCCAATACTTTTTTAATTAAGATATTCTTCTCGAAGCTTCTAGATCTTTGAGAAATCCTGTACAGTCACGTAGGCACCTATAGGGCCCTATGTTCTCCGTGATCATAGTGACATTGTCATCTAGGATCCAGATGTATAATGAATCTGTAGTGATTTTGAGATGATTTTGATATTGATTTTGATGTAATTTATATATGATTTAAAAATAATACATTTCTTAGATAATAATATAGATATAATGGGTAAAATTTGGCACACAGTCACCCTGGTAGGCGTACTGTACGATGACCAGTCACAGCCAACCTGGTGAACGTATTGTATCATCAGGGTCTTCCTACCAAAGAGAGTTGCTTCTGACGAGTTCAGGAAGAGGTCGTGTGTTTCCGGATCCGTCATCAGTGGCAGCGTGATCCCTGAAAATCCCATTATCACACCGACAGCTAATTTAATGGTTGCCACAACCAGGACTGCAAACACCTGTGTAAAGAAAAGTAGACCAGAGTTTCTTAACTTAGAAAGTTTCTTAAACTTTCTAAGAAACTTTCTTAGAAAGTTGAACTTACTCTCTTAACTACCTCGTGGTGTAGTGGTTAAGACACTCGCCTGGCGTTTCGCGAGCGCTTTGTCTTCCCAGGTTCGTATCCTGTGTAAGATTTACTGGGCGTCAATCCTTAACAGTAGCCTCTGTTTACCCAACAGTAAAAAATAGATACCTGGTTGTTAAACGATTTGGTGGGGTCGTATTCCTGGGAATATAGGATAATGACTTGCCCGAAATGCTACGCGTTCTAGTGGCTGTACAAAAAAGAACTCTTCAATAAACAAATAAAAAAAAAAAATGGGAAGAGGGATAAGTATTATACCTAGTCGGAATCGGAGGCTTCGTCAGTAACAACTTTTACAAATGGTTTCAGTTCTGGCTGGGCTGAAGAGCTGTACAACAGTGTAAATCAACATTTTATCTTTATACATAAATTAAAAAGACACTTAGCTTACAATTTAAGAGGTGGTATATATTGGTAAAATAATATTGAAGTAATGACAATAGTAATACTAACAGCAGTATTAATAGTAACAGAAATGTTTGTCGAAATTTATAAATTTGATTCATAATGTACGTGTTTATATTTTAAAGAAATTAATGAATATTAAGCTTAAAAAAAGCTTGTGCCAATCATTGAATATTATATGAGGCAAGATAAGATGATGAGGGAACAGGTAGAAAACGGAGATGATGAATGGGGGAGGTAGGACGAAGGAATAATGGTAAGGCGAGGGTGAGAGGATGAAATTTGGGGAGTGAGAGGAGAGGGGGATAACAGAGTGGGGAGAGAAGGCTGAAGAGAGAAACTCAGACCCGGACCCGGCTGGGTTCCCCTCTAGTAAACTGTTATAAAAACAGCATGGCTCTGTTTGTCATAAACGTGGAATAAATTTAATATATACCTATCACTGTAACCATTTTCACTCCATTACTATCTACATCGCTGTAATAAGAAGGTTGTGCACCGGAATGCAAATCTATCTTCTGAACATTTCATGTGCATGTCAATATCTAAATAAACTGTTATTTAAACAAAGGCTAAATTCTACACACATTTTGTTGCACATTTCTTGCCAACTGATTTCATGAAGAGGAAGCGGAGGTTGGGAGGAGGGTGTGAAGGTCAGGAGAGGGGGGGGGAGGAGCCTAGCAGCGACCACCCTATGAGATTAAAAAAAAAATGATTACCAATTGCCATTCAAATAGTTGTGTGAGGTTAGGGCCAAGTGGCAGGCCTCCAACCTTGAACACTCAATCTTATACAGATAGATTAAAAGAACAAATTAGAAATACAAATTGGTTATATTTCCTGCACTGAAAAATTTGCAATACGTTGGATGATGCTGCTCAAGGCAGATGATAACGTAAAATATTAAATAATGGTGATGGATCCAAGAAGATAATTTTTAGTTACTGTAATATAGATTTTGTTTTGGGATGCAGTTATTTTGAATGTGTAAATGCCATTAGTGAAAAAAGTATATTCAAATAAATGTTAACGAAAAGTTCGTTAGCGTTGGTAAGAAGTAAGTCAAATTGGGTGATAAGTAATTGAGAGTAAGAAACTTTAAGAGATTTCCTCAGACTTCAATTTAAATATGCATGAAACCTGCGTGAATACGTGTTTAACAACATTAAAACAGTAATGCATACCTGGGGGGCTATCGCAGGCCTAGAGTCTTCATGAAGCAAGTTTTGGCGGGAGTGTCCCTCGGGCGAGGTCTGTTGGCTGTTCGCAGTTACACTTCTCGTGGACTCTGCTGTCTGAGCTGAAGGACCATAGGTAGTTTCTTCCTTCTTGTAGCATATAGTTTGGCAGGTAGATGACGAGGAATTCCCACTAGCTTCCTCTAAGTCGTACTTCATAATGTTAACTTCATGCGTTCCTGTGATTTTTTTGTAATTTTTATATGGTTAATACAAATCTATAACATGTTCCTTACAAGAGAAGCACAGTGCATGAACAACCAAGGTTGCATCGCAGTTTTGTAATAGAATAATTACGTTTGTGAAGTTATTCGTTGGAAGATTGTTTATTATCTCATTTGGTATATTGGAACTTGGGATTTGACTACTATAAAGTTGTATACCAGTTTTTAGATTAAGGTAATAGTATTAAGAGGGTGGATGGCGTTTAGAGGTTCGGCCGAATGTAATTAAAAAATAAACTCAAAATACTGGAGTACCAGAGTTCAGAAATCCTTATACGGCTAGAAGTTGATCTTGAGATGACGGACGAGCGTTTAAAGATTTTCTGGAAGGACAAAACCAAGAACTGGATATGAAATAAATTAAAACCTGGTTATTCTTGCGAGCGTTGAGAGTCTGCTAGACAAATTTGATGAAGAATAATGGCGGACAGCTCTTATAATAAGCTTCTCCTAAGGTAGATGTTACGCTGCAGATGTTGAGCGCCACTGGAAGCGGTACCTGGGAAAGTCTTATTTACTCCTAACGAAAAAAATAGTAAGCTATATTAGATTCTTAAGGCAGAGAGCACGGTGTAAGGACTGGTGGGAACAGGTACTGTGTTAAGACTGGCTCGGAGGGACGCCATCCAGGCGGGTGTGCTGCTGCATCTCATGACTGCTATAATAAAGAGGTCATCACACGTGACGTCATTTTCTTAACAGGGTAATGATAAGCGACCATTATTTCTATTTACAATTTTGGTAAAGACTACCTTCGAATTTGCTTTTTCCTTTCCCCCGCAGTCTGTTAGGTAAGGAAACTAGGTCAAGTTTAACTTTGTGTAAGAGGCCTAGTCCATGATGTGGCAAGGCCCAAGACTAATTACACATTTCACACACGCATCGTAATTTTTTGGACGTTCAGATCAGTCTGTTTAAATTGCTAAATATTTTTTAATACAGATAATTTCTTTATTCTGTAAATATCTCTTCCTTCTTTTTAGATGTTATCTTAATATTTGGCGTTTGGATGTATCGTTATCGAAAGTGCGAGAACGGGTTGCGTTATCATGCAAGTTTCATCAATGTAACACAAATAGTGGCAGATTAATACAATACTTGTATTTATATAGGGTGGTGTTAGTTTTTTTGGTAAATGCCTGAATCCGCACTACAGAATTACTAATATGGGAAGCATTTTACTAGGGTGTACCGTGCAACATAAAATATTCAGCCTATTAGCCAATTCGTGAAAAGTTGATTATATATATATATATATATAATATATATATATATATATATATATATATATATATATATATATATATATATATATATATATATATATATATATAGCTTATATATATATATATATTATATACATTGTATAGTAATATAGTTGGAAGTAATATATGTGTAGTAATCGGGACTCATTACTGAAAGTTGTCGAAGAACTATTTATATGAGAGTTTGGTGTTTCATGAGGCTTCCATAGTGTTATATGCGAGCTTGGAGTTTGAAGGCTCCAAAGTCTTGCTAGTACTCGGATATTGTCAAAGATTCTGACTAAGTCGGTAAGTAAACATTTCTGATTGCCTAAGCGCAAATGATTTATAGATTCTGAAGACATTTTGATACCAGTGTTTTAAATACTGATTTACCTGTAATGGAAGCATTTACAATATGAACTTCAATTTCATCAAGGTATGTGTAGTGCTATATTTAAGGAAGACAAATTATGGGGAGATAAGAATTGCTTGTGATGTATTTAGAAAACTGAACATACCCGTTAATAAAGTATATTGATTTAGCAGTTACAGGGTTTTTAATATGAAGTACAGGAACTATTTATCGATTGCCTGCCTGGAATTTTGTAAAACAAAATTCCAGATATAATTGGTGTATTATCTTAGATTTTTTTTACATGGGATTTCCAACATTCATGTCCAGCATTGCACATTGTTTTGTGAATTGTTCAGTTGGTTTTATTAATCATTCCGTAGTTTGTTTTTCGTTGGGCCAGACTGACAGTGTGTAATGAAGACATCGAACACACTCGTTTTTCCACCACGGAACACTTTAATTTAAACATATTAGTAAACGGCAATGAATTGAAAGACTGGCTGAATTAAGAAAAAAAATAGGATAAATAATGCGGTCGCTGTTATGGGTAGTGTAAGAGCAATCTGCCCTCCTAATAGAGCGTCGCATTTTGACGTATTCTCTACCTAAGGCCAAAAATTTTCGTACTTAAACATTATAGCAGCTCGCGAAATTGACATACTGTCCCGTTTTCTGCATTGGGTCCTCTGGTAGCTTAGGATAAGGGCACTTTAGGGTGACAATTTCTTGACGTTGGGAAATCTTAGAGGAACGGGCTAGATACAACAGACGTTCATCAAAATGTCTTGCGCCACAAAAATACCGCCATTCGCCTGCCAGCTACACACGATAGGAAATTATTCAACACATTTCGGGGAGTGAAGAGCTACTTTTATTGCAGTTATTGATGATAACACGGTATAACAAGCTTCTGAGCTTGATCATACTTCATGCACCGAGTGCATCCATTATTGGGCCATTACTTCTCTGTTAGTGCATCCATTATTGGGTCATTTCTTCTCTGTTAGTGCATCCATTATCGGGTTAATCCCAGCCAAATAGTCAACTCCCTAGAGCTCTCGCAGTTCAATTAATTTTAGTGTGAATTTTACCGATGGAAATTTTTTCGCAATTTACTCTATCCTCATGTGACCATTTATACATACAAGAGATAAAAGCTTAATGCAAATAAATGCTAAGAAAGAGTATCGGTATACGAGGTGGTGTATCACTGATAAGGCGGCTATTCTGTATAAACCAAGAACTGGAGAAAAAAACTTCAATTTATTCACTTTTATTTATATAAAAGAAGGTATATTGGGTTGAGAGAACACAACATCGGTATTCTTACATTGTTGCAAAGCTACTAACACGCATAGCGTTTCGGGCATGTCCTTAATCAAATAGATAAAAGTAAGAGTAATTAAGAGGTATATTGTTGCAGAATTTTATTTAAATAATGAAGCTTCAATGAGACTTTTTGGCATTGGAAGTTAATAGGCTTTTTTTTATATAGGATACAAAGCAAATCTATTTGTTTATAATTGTGGAAAATAATGTTTTTTTGACTATGTAAGAACGTCACAAATGAGGCATTGCTGCAATTTTAAATTTCTTTAACGTGGAATTTTTTTAACATTTGCTAAATTAAGGATAATCCCGTAATAAAGATCAAAGTAAAATATTAAAACCTAGTGGTTTTCCCAGAAGATTCTGTGCTTTGCCATTCTTACTTGGAACATTACCGGGTTTAAAGAGGTAAAGTGTTACTGTCACTTTTGGGGTTCGAAGCCTGGTTGCTTGTGATCTCCTCCAGGGAGCGCCCCCGTGTCTCTGACAGAGCAACAGCGCTGACAATGGTTAATGTTGCGCACACACCACTGAAGATCCAAAACGTTCCATGTTCTCCCAGTGCTTCTACTGTCATTGGAAACGTTTGGGATCCTACAAACATTCCGAACATCATTACTAAACCTATTAATGAATCGGTAATAGATCGACACGATGTAGAAAATAATTCATTACATAATACTGCAAAAACCGGTTGTCCAATACCGATAAATAAAATGTATATAAACACTGCAGCAAGTGGGAGCCACCAAATGTTATCAACATTCCGGGACTCCTTTATGTACAAGTATACACCATAAGCAGCCATACACAAAGAACTTACAGAATAAGACAGTATTAATATGGGCTTACGTCCCACTCGGTCAATTATACAGAGGTTGATAAACGTTCCAAGGACCTTGAAGGAGCCAAATATTATGGCAGTGATGTATGGATCTAAGCTGATTTCCGTCGATTGGAAGATAGGCACTAAATATGTTGTCATAGCATAACTTCCATTCCATGACATCAAGAGAATTAAAAATGCCACTAAACAAAACATGCGTAGAGTTGCTGGTTCTAAGATTAGCCGTGCTTGCTTCAAAGAGCTGTCACCCCTCCCAGAATCTCCAGCGTGTTGTGTGATGCCCTTTAACTCTTCTTCAGAGGCATAATGCTTACCTCTGAAAAAGTTGAGAGCTTTCCGAGCTTCAGTAACGCGGCCCTGAGAAACGAGCCAGCGGGGGGAGTTCGGCAAGAGGAGGAGGCCGAAGAAAGGAATTGCAGATAAACCGCAGTAAACTAAGCCCATTTGTCGCCAATCGAGCTTCGAAATTCCTAGGGCAGCTGCCATTAGACTACCAGTTTGTCTAGCAAGTGCAGTAGCTCCAGTGAGAGTTCCACGCACGTTCTTGTGAGCGATTTCCGTGATGTATTGACCTGTACCAGAGTCCAGAATGCTCATAATAACACCCAGGATGGTGCGACTTGTCAGGAGCAGCCAAACACTGTCGGAGAGAGCGAGTGCGAGCCAGGAAGCCACGAGGAAGGGTAGGGTCAGGAGGAGGGTCAGTCGTCGACCAAGGTTCACCAACAGAGGTCCACACACAACAAACCCAATAGTACCTCCCAGGTTCACGAGGCTTCCTGCAATGGTGTTACGGATTTTTAGTACAATAACTACTGCTTGAACAAATAATATGGATATATTTAAAAAAAAAAAAGATATGTCTTCTGATATATTGAATTATGCCGTAAGTTCAATATACTTGTGAGTACGTAAACAAATTAATATTATTCTATGTGATATACCGTAAGTTTAAAACCACTCTCCAGTAAGAAATGATGGTAGCAGGACCGCTCAGTATGTGGGAAAACCTATCGGGATTAATATATAAGGAGAACTACTAGGGACTTGTACTGTAATAAATTAAAAATTACGGTATGCAAAATTAATTCAACTAAAGTCTCTATCTAGGGTCTTAAATCCTAGCTCCTCTTTTTCTAATGACAGACTGTGGGCTGTAAGGGGCAGGTGGGGTCCCTAAGGATGAATGGAGAAGTTGATTGAAGATCCACAATTCACCTGGAGACAAGTTTCTCACATCAGCTTGTATTGTTAATATTAAGATTTAATAATTCAGTTCTATAAATGAACATTGGTTCTGTTTAAATCAGGGATCTAAACATGTACACAGTCTGTCCTTGCGCCATAACTATAACAGCCAATATTCTTATACTAATAAACACAACAATTTATTGTAGAAGTATGATATATTTGAATATGCAATCAAATAACCTTAAATGTGGTCAAAGTACTATTAACTAAGGACAAGAGATTATATTCAATATGATAAACTTATATTATAAATTAAAGATAACTAAGTAAGCAATTGCTAACAATGTATATTATCAATTATATACAAATATATTCAGTTTATATAAAGAGATTCAGTTAAGCTTGACTTGACTTAGACAAGGGGACACTCATGAGGTTGTGAAATTCGCGAGTGTCTGGTTACTGAAAAGAGATTCAGTCGCTACTGTATTAATAAAACTTACTGAAATATGAGGCGTTGCTTCACCATGTAACGACAAACAGACTTATTGGATATATTAAAGTTACACAAGCATACAATAGGCCAATTAATATACCAAATAACATTCAATATACTTATGACTGAATGCCGAGTGCCGTCTGACAAGTGGCTAGACTGATAACTCCTGTAGAGTTCAAGCACTATATTTTAATTCACAGCTTTGCTGTATATTGTTCTAGTAGCGTTGCTAACTGATTATGTCCTTAATTGCGTTTGCAGTAGGCTAAAATAGGTGATGGAGGCGGCGTCACAGGTGGATGAGCTCCACTCCACACTCTTATTTTTTTTTTTTTTTTTTTTTTTTTGAGATATATACAAGAGTTGTTACATTCTTGTACAGCCACTAGTACGCATAGCGTTTCGGCCATGTCCCTGGAATGCGATCCCCTGCCGCGAAGAATCGTTTTTTCATCCAAGTACACATTTTACTGTTGCGTTAAACAGAGGCTACAGTTAAGGAATTGCGCCCAGTAAATCCTCCCCGGCCAGGATACGAACCCATGACAGCGCTCGCGGAACGCCAGGCGAGTATCTTACCACTACACCACGGAGACTCCAATATATTTAGATAATATACTAGAAATTTTCCTTGTAGATATTGTCCAGGTATTCCCCCCAGTTCTAGAGAGCAATCACTGGTGATAAATATATGTTATTGTGGTGTCCTTTACCAAATAAATGTTCGTAAGGCACCGTATCACTTGTTCACTGTTTGTAAACACGGGCGTTCTGCCCCGGGGTGCCCCTGTAGGTCGCTTCACTCCCTAGTTTGGCTCCTCCCCCCCCCCCCCCCGTTTGGGGAGGGTAGCCTTCAATACATATTGATTGATTATTTTTACTGTCTAGACATATGATTGAGATAAGATGTAATTAGAATATAATTAGATATAAGATTTAAAGATTATAAGTAGTACTTGCTAGTACTATTGATTCTTATTAAAGATGTGATCTAATCCGTACCGGAAATTGATTGAATGTTCCAATACGTTTTTAATTAAGATATTCTTCTCGAAGCTTCTAGATCTTTGAGAAATCCTGCACCAAGTCACGTAGGCACCTATAGAGCCCTATGGTCTACGTGATCATTGTGACATTGTCA